GGAGAAAAAAAAGGGGGGGGGGGGGGGGGGGGGAGGAAGAATTTATTTTTTCAAGGTACCCTCCAGCAAAGCTTACATGCCACTCACATCTAGCTTTGTCAATTAATTTTGACAGAAAATTGGATGGAATGGAAATTGAGAAAAATTAAAATTCATTTTAGAATGAAAGACATAGTTCAAAGGGTATTCACCATATTTACCCTAATATTTTTTTAATTGCTCAATTTTAGGTCTCATATGACTGCACGAGGACGTGGTCATGGGAAGTACGTATAAAGCACAAAAAACTGATAAACCGGTATTAATATAATGTTAAAAGTCTCTTTATCATGATCTTACGTATCTAATCCAGTCATGAAATATACAGCATGAAGGTGATAGCAAGCTCCAGTTTGTTTACCTGTGTGATATTATGTCTCTCATTCATGCATATGACTGAAGATGGAGCTCAAAACACATAGTAGTTCGGAGTTTAGTATTTGAGTACCTCGAAATTTAAGTTCGAGTCTCACAAGAAATTTGGTTGATCCGATGTATGTGGTTTGCGGATGGTAATGGTCATTCCACGTTCACACCCAACTTTAACTAAAATCTTAAGCCCTTAAACAGCCTTCACTGCAATTTTTTTTTTTTTTTCTGGAAAGTAAAGTTCTATTGATTGTATAAAAGATAATGTACATAAGGAATCCCTGTGATGGGAGAACAAACAAAACATCTTGACTCTAAGGCATAGAATTCAGAGGGAAGTTAAAGACTTGAGCTAAAACTTCCAACTAAATCCCCTTTCGCTGGAATTGATTCACAAAAAAGGACAATACAAAACAGTTGCCTAGCCAAGACAGTCTGATGGGAGCCTCCATTCACAGCATTTTAATCCATCATAAACATGCATGTTTATCTTATGCCGCACTTAACTCTCTCATAGCTTTATTAGATTCACTACTAAATTCTAAACTTAATAGCATAGATCTTGGTACAACGATAAGACTATTTCATTGTAACTCAGACGTCAAGATTTGAGTCACGAAAATAGTTTACCTGCATTCAAGGGTAAGGCTGCATATATACATACTGTTCCTAAATTCCGCAGTGGAGAGAACCTCTGAGCCCTAACTCTTATTTTATTTAAAAAATTATCAATAAGCATTACTTTTTTCCATAAACATCCATCAAGTCTTATTATTGTTTTATATCAATGAAGTTCTATTAAATCTTAAATCTTAAACCCTAATCCCTAAGTACAGATAAAATCTCCAACCTGCTTTGCGTGGATTTTGACATGAGACTATTCTACAGTACAGATAAATTCACAGTAATTCGGGAACCACCCTAGTGTTGACATACCATACATTTTTTTTTTTTGAAGATGTATGTTTGAGTACAATATATAGAGTATATTTATCAAAAAAAATATATATATATAGAGAGAGTATGGTCTTTCTTGAATGTTGATTCGATGTTTAGCTGCTTGACTCATATATTGATTAATGTTTTAGTTTCCTACTTGCATTTAATTATTTTATTTTTTTAGTATTGGACAGATTTCTAGAATTTGGGATATGCATGCATGTTGAATCGTGCGTTTGAATGGAGCTCAAAGTAGCTGTGGAATTGAGGAAAAACGAGACTAAATTACGTTAGCATTACAAATTTTTAAGGTTTTTTGTTGGTGGGTGGAGATAGACCATGCAGCACCCCACAGTCAAAGAGCAGTTAGAGACCACAATATTTAGGGTAACTGTCTAATTTTCAATAACAAATTGGGATTAACATAGTAGAAGATATGACGAATATATATATGAGCATAGTGTAAACCTATAGTTCCGCAAGTGAAACTTATTTTAAATTAAGGTTGATATTACGACTTAATCTATTAAGTTTATAATAAAATGAGATCTTTTGGGATCCATTCGAACATTTTAGGATCGATCCTAATTTTTTTTTAAGAGCAATGTTATTGTAACCTAATTTACAAGTTTAATTTGCTGACTTAATTAACTATAACCATTGGATTGACTGTGGATTCTATTAAACATTGAAATTTAGTATTAATCTAATGGTTCCACTAAAGCAACATCATTATGTCAATAAATTATGTCATATTTTTATGTGCAAATAGCATTAATCTTTTTTTAATGCCGATTAATCTTATATATGTGATATAACTTGAGTTAAACTATTTTATAATCTCATAAATAACGAGACAGAGCCGGTAAAAGGACAGAATGGTGACCATTTTTTATGATGGTATGATCGTTGAACATGTTCATAGAATAAAAGATATTGAAGCAGCCGGATCTTATTATTTAATTCTGCCAATATTATTATACAGCATAATGCCATTATTCAGAGAAATTAATATATTTGCGGAATAATGACTTTTGCTTTTTGGGGGTCTTTAATATATGGCTCAAAGATATTTGGACTAGCTTTAGTTTACACGCACCTCGACTAATCTCTTTTCTATTTTATCAAAATCAAGTCATTCGCACTAAGAATAAGATATTCATAAAGAATAAATTTGTCCGGTTTTAAGAAGTTACTAATATTCAAACTCAAATCATTTAAATTTATAGCTCGTCTATCGTATCACTTGATCTACCCCTTAGAGATTTCTTTTTAAAAAGAGCACACGCATAACTGTGGAGTTTTGATGGAATTCAGTGTAATAATGTTGGTACTATAGTGGTTGTCATTTGGGTTGATTTAAAAAAGTGGTTTTAAAAATTACAATTCCTCGTAACTAAGGGCTCGGTCAAGGGGAGACGAGGGGGTCAACGGTCCACCCCGTAATTTTTTTAAAAATACATTTTCTTAAGTATATTTAAATGTGTCTATCCTACTATTTTCTTCTTGTTGGGGCTTCGGGGGTTGAATGTATGGTTCCTATCAATTAGTAGTATGACCTAAAATTAAGTAACTATAAATTTTCACACACACTTTGAACACATTACATACATATATTAGATAGGTTGTTGATATGTTAGACTTATTGTGTAGGTATTTAAGCTACGATAAATTTGAAAACTTGATTACATAAATAAGCGATTAATAATGAATCACTTATAGCTTGATTATATATATACTAGCGATAACTCGTGCCTAAAGGCACTGTATAATTTAAAAAAAAATTAAATTATTGATCGTGAACATAAAATAATCAAGTATTAAACTTGAACGCACACTAAGTTGAAAACCTAACATACATCCTTTAATACACCCGCATTTTACATAAATGATTAACAAAGTGTTAATTTATTGAGGAAAAAAAAAATTATTGACCGTTGAATGAATAAATTTAAGACCGTAAGATATGTTCAAGATCAGTCATAATCGTTGATTTTTTAAGGGAAAAATATTAGGAAAAAAATTATAATTTCTTAATCATTAGATGAATGAATTTGAAACCGTAGGATGTGTTTGATCAGCCGTAATCGTTGACTTTTTGGGGGAGAAAATATTAAAGAAAAAAATTATAATTTCTTAATCGTTGAATGAATAAATTTGAGACCATAGGATCAGCTTGTTGAAGCCGCCCTATTTTATATTATGGATGTAATGATATTAATAATAAAATTATGAAATAACGCTCGCAAAATAAGAAAATAAATCGGGATCAATTGTATGAAAGAATTTGAAGCAGCCGAATCTTGTGTTTTGGTGTAGCAGTCGGATCTTATTATTTAATTACGACAATATTATTATACAGCATAATGCCATTATTCAGACAAACTAAATTTTTACACACACTTCGAACACATTCTACACATATTTAGATAAGTTATTGATATGTTAAACTCATTTTGTAGTTATTTAAGTTATGAAAAATCTAAAATTTTAGTTACATAAGTAAATAATTGATCAATAATGAATTACTTATAGCTTTATTGTATATATATAAATTTTTTTAATTGTGTTAATAATAAAATTTTTAAGTAACGCTTTTGAAATAAGAAAATTTGTCCGGGTCGATTGCATATATATAGACACACGTAATGTATATCGACATTCGATCTCTTTATATTTAATAAACATTCAAATATATATCATTTATAATATAATAAATTTAAATATGTCAATTTATTTTTTGAGCAACACTATTTGAACTTAAAATACTAACGTAATATGCTGACTTGGTCAATCATTATTATTAATTTAACTATAAGTTTCAGTATTTATTGAGATTCATTATATATTCAATAATTGTGATTAATCGAATTGAAAATAAAGTCAATATTTTAAATTCAAATAATATTTTTTTGTTCATTACAAAAAAAAATTAAAACTTTTAATTAGAGTGCTCACCTAGAATAAAATTTCAAACTCCCCACTTACTCCTAAATAGATAAAATTAAGAAAATATTATTTGAAACTAATTATCTATTTCAAAGAAATTTAAAATAATTTTACCACTTAAATAATTCAATTAAATAGAACACGAAAAAAAAAAACTTCTAACAATTATTACCACCAGTATTGCAGCAGCAGCAGCAGCCACCGCCGCCAACCGTCATCGTCCTCGCCACCACCCACTACTACCTACTACCACCAGACCACTATCCCTAACACACGTCGTCGTCATCACTAATGATGCACAAATTAGTTTGCACACCACTAATCAAGTTATAGTATAAAATGCAGTAAGTAGAAGGGGAGAGACAACAAGATTTATAGTAGTTCGGTCAATACGACTTACGTCCACTTTGAATGACTAAGTTCGCTGGAATTCTATTACATCCGGTATAGAGGGAGAGCACATGATTACAAGTTTTGAGAGGGGAGGAGAGAATTATGTTCAAATGAGTCTGATACCCCCCAAGTATTGGAGGAGCTTATAATTTATAATGGCTTGATATAGTAATTGTATGACTAGTTTGACGGTCATAACGGCTTAGGACCGTTTGATAGTACTTAGGTAGCTAATCTGGCGGAAGCGACCTATCATCTTCTCAACGGACGACGTGTAACGGTTGGTGTGCTCTCCAAAGAACTTGTTCAAGGATAATGGAGGTTAACTCTCTCCAAGCTGTGAGGGTGAGGCTCCTGGATGCTCCCTTAGTGGTGAGGGTAAGACTCCTAGATACTCCCTTGATGGCACAGAAGAGGCTCTTGGATGACTCTTACTCCAAGGTGGTAGAGGAGGAGACTCTTGGATGACCTTGTTTGCCCTTTGCTGATATAGTAGCTCCTTAAATCTGATGAGATTAACTAGGTTAATTACATTAGATTAAATTTGTTGAATCTTTTGAAGTTGAGCTATAAATTCGGACCGAATTTATGACGCAAGTTGACCTTTGGCCCTGGCCATCAATCACCACCCCCGCTATCACAAGTACCTGCCATCACCGGCACAATCATCACCACCACCCAAGTATTGGTCTTAGGACAAAGAAAATCATCTGGCTGCTGCTTCAACACCCGAGCTTTAGGAAGCTTCGGCCATTTTTTACCCTCTAAATGAAATGACACAAGCATAACCTAATCCTTTTTTTAATGCCATTCAATTGTTCATGATAGTCCACTTCTGTTGCCTCTGCCTTGCCTTGTTGTGGGAAGCTTTCTGTATATTATTCGAAAAAGGTTTGACCTAACCATTTCAATTACGTCTCCCATGCACTTATAAAAACCCTCCGTATCTCTGCAAGATTTCCCTCTACCTCTCTCTCTCTCTCTAGTTTAATTGATTTGTTTTTGTTGCAACTAATAGAGAAAAATGGGTAGATCTCCATCTTGTGCAGAGAAAGGTGTGAAGAAGGGGCCATGGACGCCGGAGGAGGATCAGAAACTGATTGATTATATACAAGACCATGGCCCTGGAAGGTGGCAATCACTGCCGCGGAACGCCGGTTTAAACCGGTGCGGAAAGAGTTGCAGGCTTCGGTGGACTAATTATCTGAGGCCTGACATCAAGAGAGGGAAATTTTCTGACGAAGAAGAGCAAGTCATCGTCAATCTCCATTCAGTTATTGGAAACAAGTACATTTTTATGTTCATTTTTCCTTTTTTTTCTTCGGTGGTTCATATTAATATTTGAAAAAAAAAATTATATTTTGAACCCCATCAACTATGGTCCCTTATCTTACAATACCCTCTCACCTCTCAACTATTATGTTTTTCATACGAGTAATCTTATATGAATTTAAAAAGTAAATTTAAAAATTAGACTCGATAATCTCAATCATTGATTTCATTATAGGTCTCAGCATTTATTAGGACCTCCTACCTATTCAATGATTGAAATTATCAAGTCTAATTTTTAAATCTAATTTTTAAGTCAATTTAGTATTACTCTTTTCATATTGCACCTTTAATTATAGTTACTAATTTTTCAACTCTCCGATAATTAATGTACTTACAAGTTTGACAAATACTTGTCTAATTTCCCTCCTCCCCAAAAAACATAATTATGTGAGTTTGTTTCACTTTGTTGCGACACGTAGGCATTTTTCTTCCAAAAAAATAGCAACTGTCCATGTTTAGGACAATGTAAAACTAATTCAAGTAATTAAATGTACAATGTAAGAAGTCCAATAAGTCGAGGGAACCGTAATCAAGCAGGTCACAATGTAATAATTTGTCCTTAATATCTTGATTAAAATTTTCTATATACAATATTAATTGCAATAATGCTACAAATGGAGTATTCACTCTTACTATGTACTGGCAGGTGGTCGAAGATTGCTAGCAAGCTCCCAGGTAGGACTGATAACGAAATAAAGAATTTCTGGAACACCCATTTGAGGAAGAAGCTCCTCCATGATGGTATTGATCCAAGAACACACAGACCTGTCTATGATCTGAACCTCCTCCTTAACCTTTCTCAATTGCTGTCTACCCCAAACTTCAGCAATTTGATGAATCCTTGGGGCAATGCTCTTAAGTTGCAAACTGATGCCACTCATTTATCCCAAATCGAACTCTTAAAAAGCATTTTGCAGTTCATAAATACAAGTCCACTTCCAAATATTGATCAAACTAGTTTCTTGGGATTACAGAACTATGCCCAGATTGATGGATTTTTGCATGGGACAAACACCCTCCATACAGTTGATCAGCCCCAAGAACCCTTCCATGGCTACAGTACTGCCATTACAAGTTATTCACAGGCTTTGTTTGAAAGGGTGTCAAGCCAAGAGGTTCTGAATGCCAATGGTAACAGCTTAATCAGCACAGGTGATTATCAGACAGAATGTCCACTTCCTGCATTGGTTTTAGATACTCCCGAAAGCACCATTGTCAACCAAATGGAAAACACAGAGCCAGCTTATATTTCTGCCCATTCACCCACCTCCAACTTCTTTGAGGATTGGGAAAAACTGCTGGATGGTGAAGCCAGTAGTTCCTTCTGGAAAGATATTATAGATTGAATATCTCAACTCATATAAACCCAGCTACATCATTAGACTTTTTGCATTATTCAAGCATGTGTGTGNTCAGCATTTATTAGGACCTCCTACCTATTCAATGATTGAAATTATCAAGTCTAATTTTTAAATCTAATTTTTAAGTCAATTTAGTATTACTCTTTTCATATTGCACCTTTAATTATAGTTACTAATTTTTCAACTCTCCGATAATTAATGTACTTACAAGTTTGACAAATACTTGTCTAATTTCCCTCCTCCCCAAAAAACATAATTATGTGAGTTTGTTTCACTTTGTTGCGACACGTAGGCATTTTTCTTCCAAAAAAATAGCAACTGTCCATGTTTAGGACAATGTAAAACTAATTCAAGTAATTAAATGTACAATGTAAGAAGTCCAATAAGTCGAGGGAACCGTAATCAAGCAGGTCACAATGTAATAATTTGTCCTTAATATCTTGATTAAAATTTTCTATATACAATATTAATTGCAATAATGCTACAAATGGAGTATTCACTCTTACTATGTACTGGCAGGTGGTCGAAGATTGCTAGCAAGCTCCCAGGTAGGACTGATAACGAAATAAAGAATTTCTGGAACACCCATTTGAGGAAGAAGCTCCTCCATGATGGTATTGATCCAAGAACACACAGACCTGTCTATGATCTGAACCTCCTCCTTAACCTTTCTCAATTGCTGTCTACCCCAAACTTCAGCAATTTGATGAATCCTTGGGGCAATGCTCTTAAGTTGCAAACTGATGCCACTCATTTATCCCAAATCGAACTCTTAAAAAGCATTTTGCAGTTCATAAATACAAGTCCACTTCCAAATATTGATCAAACTAGTTTCTTGGGATTACAGAACTATGCCCAGATTGATGGATTTTTGCATGGGACAAACACCCTCCATACAGTTGATCAGCCCCAAGAACCCTTCCATGGCTACAGTACTGCCATTACAAGTTATTCACAGGCTTTGTTTGAAAGGGTGTCAAGCCAAGAGGTTCTGAATGCCAATGGTAACAGCTTAATCAGCACAGGTGATTATCAGACAGAATGTCCACTTCCTGCATTGGTTTTAGATACTCCCGAAAGCACCATTGTCAACCAAATGGAAAACACAGAGCCAGCTTATATTTCTGCCCATTCACCCACCTCCAACTTCTTTGAGGATTGGGAAAAACTGCTGGATGGTGAAGCCAGTAGTTCCTTCTGGAAAGATATTATAGATTGAATATCTCAACTCATATAAACCCAGCTACATCATTAGACTTTTTGCATTATTCAAGCATGTGTGTGAGTTTGTCTAGTTTTTGTGTGTGTGTGTGTGTGTGAGAGAGAGAGAGAGAGAGAGATTCAAGTGCATTGTGCTGGCATTATCTCTAGCTGATTTTGCTCCTGGGGACTGCAGCAACTTCTTCCTTTGGCAGCAACAATGGCCATTGTCATGTCTGAAAATTACTCCAAGTACACATACATATGGAAACATACATTCTAAGTTTTTTATACTGCAAATAGTTATTGTTTTACTGAGGGATCTTATGATTGACCTACTCTATATCAATGTGTACCTTCTCTTTTATCAGACAATGTTCTTTCTAATACACATTTGCTTTTCTATATTTAGAATATATTAAATATTTGATTTGAAATACCAACTTTTGAGTTTAGTGTTTTGGTATATGATCTCCAAATGACTCACTCCTCATTCAGTGACATAAGCCCGGAAGAATATCTATGAGTAGAAGATTAGCTGAAACAAGATGTGTTTGAAAAAATGGAATCGTTTGTTTTTTGACCAAAAAAAAAATAGAATCTAAGAGATAAAGTGTGCGGAAGGGTGAGACGCGGACTAAATCGTTCTCTTAGGACGATTCGCGCTTTTTTATGAAAGAAATATAATACAGAAAATAATAACGCGTCATTCCCAATATACAACAACCTAGTTTATTGGCTATTGCTCTACTCAAATCTGCACAATTGAATGAAGCAGAAACTTCATGCGACACCTTTCAATTTTGTTCAAAAACTTATGCAATAAAAAAGAATATAGTAGATCTTTAGATTATATATTTCTATACTAATCTATGTAGATATATATACAGAAAATATAAGTGTTTAATATTTCTTAATTACTCTCATATTTAATAAAATAATAACTACGAAAAGTAAGTAAAAAATAGTTGTTAGAAAACTAGTCGTTAGAACCTTTGATATTCAGAAATTAAATTTTTAATATAGGAGTTATGAAGGTGGATATTCTATTAAATTTAGGCGAGTCAAGAACACCCTACCCGAGTGTGGACTAAAATGGTCGATGTGTATCTCCTCCAATTATTTCACTTCTGGGCACTTGATAATCTCAAAGTCTCATATATATATATGTGTGTGTGTGTGTGTTTTCAAATAATTTTAAAAATTTAGTCGACATGGGATTGAGTTTTCACTTAAAAAATACTCTAACAAGATGTTGACAGTTTATTATGGAGAAATATTATTTGGACTTAAAACATTAACAGTAGATGTTCACCTGATCAATCACAATCATTGAATAAATACTGAATTCTAATAAATACTAAAAACTACAATTAAATATAATTGCTATCTTTAAGTTCAACCACTATAGTTGTTCAAAATCCACAAATCATGTGGTCAGAATTTCTTCGAATAATATATCCTTGGATTTCTTTTATTGAAACTATGTTTCTAATTCGTCAGGAGCTCTTTTACCTTGGAAAAACATACAATTACGTCACAGGGAGTTAGCTGCACCCACAAATGATATAAATAGATCCTAATAAATACTGAAATCAGTTAAATTAATAACGATAATTGATTAAGTCAACAAATCATGTGAATTTTTTAAATTCAAGTTATGAATTGTAAATGAGTTGGGTGGGGTTAAGCTAGGAATGAGGACTATGTTTTTTTCGAATTCATTATTGAGATAATTTGAAAAATAAGCATTTTATACTTAAGAGTATATCCAATCTTGACTCTAATTTAAACTCAAATTTAAATTTGAGTCTAAATGGTCTAAAAATTTTCTCCAACTTTGGATTCAAACCTATACTAAATTAAATTAAAAAAATCCTTTTAGACCCAAATTAAGGCGAGCTCAAATTCTATATCAAATTTTCCCTGGTAACTTTGTACCTTACCAAAAGTCAAAAAACTTCTTTGACAACTTGTTCTCTGCCTCTTTTGATCTCTCTCTTCTACGCTGCTTCTATTGCCGATTACCACCGTAGTATTCACATATCCTTTAAAGACCTATAAGCTTCTTCATTTTTATCTTCTATTATCTTGATTTTTTATATTTTTCAAAACCATAATCTCACTCATCTTTCATATTATATAAACCCTGAGTCTACTCATTAAATTTTGCTTTGTTTTTTCCAATTTAAACAACGTCAATAGTGCAATTTTAGGTCATCGATTCTTACTGAAATTTCAAGTCTTTACTACTCACAAATTTAAGAAATTCGTTATTTTATTTGTTCAATTATCAATTTTTGTTAAAAATGATCCATTTTTTGTGTTCTTCAAATCAAACACATGTCAATGTAATTGTTTTTTTTTCTTCTTTTTTTATCTGAATTTATAGAAGAAGATAAGATATTAGAACAATTTAAAATTTCTATAGTCGTTTTCTTTTGTTTTTTCTGTTTCTGTTTATTCTTAGGTGGTGGTGTTTCCATATTCATTTTTTTATTTTTTGAATTACCTATTTTATGGAGAAATATGAAATTTTCATTTATTTTATCAAAATTTATGNTACAATTACGTCACAGGGAGTTAGCTGCACCCACAAATGATATAAATAGATCCTAATAAATACTGAAATCAGTTAAATTAATAACGATAATTGATTAAGTCAACAAATCATGTGAATTTTTTAAATTCAAGTTATGAATTGTAAATGAGTTGGGTGGGGTTAAGCTAGGAATGAGGACTATGTTTTTTTCGAATTCATTATTGAGATAATTTGAAAAATAAGCATTTTATACTTAAGAGTATATCCAATCTTGACTCTAATTTAAACTCAAATTTAAATTTGAGTCTAAATGGTCTAAAAATTTTCTCCAACTTTGGATTCAAACCTATACTAAATTAAATTAAAAAAATCCTTTTAGACCCAAATTAAGGCGAGCTCAAATTCTATATCAAATTTTCCCTGGTAACTTTGTACCTTACCAAAAGTCAAAAAACTTCTTTGACAACTTGTTCTCTGCCTCTTTTGATCTCTCTCTTCTACGCTGCTTCTATTGCCGATTACCACCGTAGTATTCACATATCCTTTAAAGACCTATAAGCTTCTTCATTTTTATCTTCTATTATCTTGATTTTTTATATTTTTCAAAACCATAATCTCACTCATCTTTCATATTATATAAACCCTGAGTCTACTCATTAAATTTTGCTTTGTTTTTTCCAATTTAAACAACGTCAATAGTGCAATTTTAGGTCATCGATTCTTACTGAAATTTCAAGTCTTTACTACTCACAAATTTAAGAAATTCGTTATTTTATTTGTTCAATTATCAATTTTTGTTAAAAATGATCCATTTTTTGTGTTCTTCAAATCAAACACATGTCAATGTAATTGTTTTTTTTTCTTCTTTTTTTATCTGAATTTATAGAAGAAGATAAGATATTAGAACAATTTAAAATTTCTATAGTCGTTTTCTTTTGTTTTTTCTGTTTCTGTTTATTCTTAGGTGGTGGTGTTTCCATATTCATTTTTTTATTTTTTGAATTACCTATTTTATGGAGAAATATGAAATTTTCATTTATTTTATCAAAATTTATGATTTAAATGACAAAAAAATATGAGTTTTGAGACAAGAAGAATTTTTTTTTTTTTAAATTTGACTAGATATTTGAGTTTGTCAATTGGAGTATTTTATACCAACTCAAATTTTTTACTCAAATTTGAATCATTGTTGAAGATGCTCTGAGAACGGTTAAAATAATCCCCTCAACTTCAAATGTTTGACTTACCTAAAAAATCAAAAACAAAAAAAAAAACCAAAAAAAAGGCTTTCAAATTTTTTGCTTAAAATATAATGGCCATAATACAAGACTGAAGAGTAACATAATCCGTCTATTTGACTGTTATATTATAAAAACTTAGTTTGAAGACCTAATTTAGTGCATTAGTTATAAATTTCAATGTTATATGAAATTCAATTACAATCGAACAATTGTAATTGATAAGATCTCGAAATTATATCTCTAAATTAAGTGTAAATAACATTTTTCTATCAACTAATTTAGCCGCTTAAAACTAAGAGGGTCAAAGGTAACCATCCCCAAGTAGAAAGAGGTTTGTACCGTCACCCCATAATTACTTCTAGAGTCCCATTTGTGACCCCCATTTTCAAGAGAAAATAGAAAAGAAACGGAAGCTTGAATTTATAACTTAATTCAGAATATTTGTTATCTTTTTTGATCTAAAGATTATTTGTTAGCCAGTGATTAAGATTACTTCCGTCTTAATGCAAGCCATTAACTGCTGCAAATGACATAATCAGCCAACAACCCAAAGTTTTAATCTGTGGGGAGGTCCGTCACCCGTGTTGGATGAAACGAGTTTGAGACAAGCTTTAATAGGTTTGTATAAAAAAATATTTTAATAATACTTAACTCGTTTATTAATTTATGTCTAAAAAATCATCTCATATTAAATTCATGTTGTATATGAATCATGTAAAGACAAGTCTTGTCGTGTATTTTTTTTGATTAATTTTACTCCTACATAATTCGTTTATTAGTAGGATTAGGTCCACTTATTTACAAAACAGATAGTATAAAAAAGACACACTTTTTAATTTCGTGTCGTGTGTATGACATATTAACAAATCGTATCATATTTTAACACCTTTAACTATAAAAGTCTCCGGCATCAAAATGTTACTTTTTAGTATCACACCTCCCCTGTTTACTCAATAAACACTGATCACTTATTTTTTATTGTTTTATTTTTAAAATAATAATTGCTAATCATCAAAACCAAAATTAACAATTATAAATCTATTTCGGCACAATAACTCTACCTAAGAGTGTTAAAATATGACAAGACCTGCTATACGACATGAAATTAGAGGGATAGAGTTATTGTGCCGAAATAGCTATACACAATTCATTCACGAAACAAACTCGATATAACATAATTCGTTAGACGCGAATTAATAAATGAATTGAATATAGATAGAATACTTTTTGACAAGAATTTAATAGACCCGATACAAACTAGCATCACCCGAAACGATTCAGAGGCGTTCCTCTACTTAGGTGGGTAATCTGCACATCAATGTGAAATTCAAAGCAAGTACTAAAGGTGGTATCAGTTTCCTATTTGAACAACTTATTATTTTTCTCGTTTTCTGCCCTGCATTTCCCCCTTTATGTGCCGCTTTAAGCTAACAATTTAGGGGTAACGTAGACTATAGATTACCAACACTGAACTCTAAATAGGTCCTGTCATGTTAAATTGCCGTCTCCAAATTTGTTCAACTCATTTATAATTGTATATAATCTAGTATATGTCGAGCATATATCATATTTAATGAGATTCCTAACGATCCATTCATAAAACAAGTCAAGATAGCAGAGTTCAGTGTCATATACGACTACAAAGCATATAAGAATATCAAAGAAAACATAAAGTCTCATTCGTAAGCAGAACCAACACATCAAGAATCTAAGTACCCAGATGAACAACGTCCTAATTTCTACTTATGTATTGCATTTTCCACAATTAAAACCAGCGAATTCTTGCACATAACTTTCTGAGAAAGTAATTAATCAACTCATTCAATTTTTGTAGCAAGCTTGTTACCAAAACGATATTACGCTAATCATATAAAGACATGATTTTAAAGCATGAGACCTGCATATGTTGAGCTATCATTCTTACGTGTGGTCTTACCTGATTGTGTTGTTGCAACTTCATGGTAACAACATCGTCATAACTAATTCCAACAGCTTGTTAGGTCTCGACAGAAATAAATCTAGCGAAATGCATCAATCCGTACCACTAACATTATGCTCATTCAAAGCAGTCCATTCGAGCAAAATTGAAGTTCTGATAATTATGCGACTTATATGGCATCAGAATGCTACAAAACCATGCATCACAACCAAACCTAATTTTGTTCTATACAGTGCCTTATCTGTAAGCAAATTGCAATATATATCAATAAACAGAGCCTTTTTTAACAGAAAAGCACTAGATAAATTGATAATGGTCTTAGTTATAAGACCATGATTGGATCTGCATTTCCGTGTTAGTACTATGATACAAAATGGCAGAAAAGGAAAAACAATTAAACCTTTACAGCGAGTTTTATGTTTCAACCTTCATGACTCGGACCACGTTCACAGATGCCTGCCATGGAAAAATCACTTTCCAGCAATAATCTCTATGGACTAACGGATAAATATCATAGATAAAGTCGTACAAACATAAAACCAATTCGCTTTAATGGTGCATAACACACATTCTCTATAACTTGGTATCAGCCTATTGGAAAATGCAATCAGTTAAACCATAATAACATGCACGAACAATAGCATGGAAATATAACAAGCGACAAAATTCATACATCGAAGTTGCCATAGAACTTTCATAAAGTTTCTAAGCAAGAAGAAACGCAAATGCCTTGAAGGGCAACTTGACCTCGCTAAAAACAGCTTCCTCACAAGCTTTAAAGCATATCCCAAACCATTGAAAGAGATCTAGAATTTAATTGCAACTCTCTATAAAGAGAAGTCCTTGACCAATCAATTATGAAAAGGGGCAAGCCACGCTAGAGACCTTTAGAGGTCATTATCCTGCTTAAAACTTCTTGGAGGCCTACCAACTTTAGCAGGTTACAAGAATCTTGATTTATTCTCTTTGTTCTTGTAATATTTGTTGGAAAACTCTCGCCCTTAAAGCGTGGTGATGTTCCCCTTCTTTTTAACAAATTTCAATTTTCTTTGTGGTATTGCGACACCTAACCCCAAAAATTAATTCGAGAACACAAGACAAGAAGGTTCTTGTCGTTTCCATAAAAGAAACCTCAGGTACATGACCAATTTTCCTACGTAAATCTCTTTGTCAGTATTGTGCCGGCAAATGAATATGCATTCAAATGTAATGAGAAACCATGCATGCAGCCGTCAGAAAACGGCAAGCCATGAACAAAGCAGTCTAATCCTCAATCTGCTTCTAAGTTCCACTTCTGTAAGCAAGCTAAAGTTGATGCCAATTAGCCTACTACTGCATAAACTCTGTAATTCAAACACAAAAAAGTTTCCCAAAATGGAACAGGTCAGGCTGGTCAGCTCCTATAGCTTGGATGAATGAAGTAAAAAGAATGCATTCCTGATGCTCTCACTGTAACTACTTCCAACTATTTTTGTTAGCTCTTACACAAAGTGACAATATCCAACAGATGCATAAGCCATGCAACCACAGTTAAGCTCATTCAGAGCACTCAATTGAAGTAAACTAAAGATTGCAGTCATGAAGCTTATATCATTGTTGGAACCAGGCAATGCAAAAATACGAACTAAATGAAGAAAATTGGACGCCTGATGCCATAGCGCAATAATCCAGTATCATAAGTAAACGATCTTTTGACAATTTGGAATTATGGCCCCAAAAGGGAGTAGACAGAGACAGAACGTTACAGCAATGTTTACTTCGATACAGAGACAACCTCATCATGTCAGCCATGGCCATTCACTTCCAAGAAAATCACATATATCCGTTAGCAACAAAGATAAAAGTAGTAAACAAGTAAGATCCATGACCTTGTGGTGCAACATAAATCAGTTCCTATTAACTTAATTATAAAGCATACCACGGAAGATTCAATTAAAGCAAACCAAATGAAGAGAAAAAAACTGGAATTATCATTGGCAAGATGCAAAATAAATCGATCCAAAATTCCAAAGGCACATTAGAACAGTTTCTAGACAACGAAATGAGGCGAGAACTACCTCAAAGTCCTAAAGACTTCAGTGTTTGAGAAGTACCAATCTGCAAAGCAAAAACACTATCTCCAAAGCAAAGATTGGATTTTACATGGTCAACAAGGAACAACTTTTAATGCCCTTAGGCGGCAGAAATCAAAGCCACGAACCTACTTATTCATCACTGTTTTTAACTGCCTATCTGAAAGAAATGAGCGCAGTGCAAATCGCTTTAACCCAGAAACAGAAAGCAGGATCACCACACTTGAGCAACCAAATCTCGGCCAATGAACTCCACAAGCTACACTTCATTAGGTTTGAATTAGGCTATCCTTTTCTTTCCTATTAGCAAGGTTAAACTGGAAGCCCCACATCATCCTCACCACAACCATTATTCCCCACCAATTTACTCTCTTCTTTCTCACAACCACCCACCTTTCTACTCTCGCAATCCTTCTCTTTCTTATTCAAAACATCCAAGAAAAAGTCTGTTAACACGCTTTCATAACCAGGCATCTTTGCGTACCCGGGGAAATAGTTGATGTCAATCACAAGGTACATATTCCCAACCCTGTTGTCCCTAATAACACCAAAGTTAAAGAAATGCAATTTCATCGCCTTTCTCAACCCATTCGCAATATCAACAATAAAACTCATCGGGGGCATGTCTGCATCTTCCGAATTCATCATTTCATAGTACTGATCATCCATTTTCTCATTGCAATTCAGATTCGAAATTTGCGAGAACGACAGAGAACCCTCCAAAGTTCGTAATTTCTCTTCGGTCACGTCCGGTAACGACTTTCTCTTCACACATTGCACATACTCACCCACCACATACACCTTGAAAATCACACCCCCATGGTTCACAAATTCCTGCAAAACAATTGGGGGTTTCAGCTTATTCAACCCATCATTGTTGAAAAGCAACGACATTATGTGCGATGTGGCGCTCCCATCCGCCACCAACGGCTTCGCTATGACCGGAAACCTCAACCCCTCCCTCTCAATCTCCAATTCCGACACCTTTTTCGACTCGTATATCACAATCTGCTTCGGAATCCCAAATGAAGCCGTTTTGTTCTCAATTTCCAACTCCTTCACTACATCAAGCATCGAAATCCGACTACGCAATCTCTCGATTGCCTCGGGATCATCAATAATGAGGACATTGGGGTTTTTCGAAGAGTACTCTTCCAGCTGATTTTTCCAATCCTGACCGTACAATTTGTGGAGAACACAATCAAAAGGTCCTTGATCGATTAATGGCTTGTTGGGGTCGATCCTAATGAGATCGATTCCTTTGTCTTTCGCAAGATTAACAAGGGAATACTGAACGAAACTGGCTTCCTTTTTCGGTGCCAAAGCGTATCCGACTCCGTATCTCTTCCTCACCTCGTCCATTGAAATTCAAACTCTCTAAGAAAATACAACCCACATTGAGAAGTGGAACCCTAACTCCAGCAGAAATGGAAAATTGAAATCTAGGGTTTAGAGAATTTAAAGGCACTTCATGAAAATTGAGATCAAGAGACACAGAAGGGTGGGAGAGAGATATGTGCAGGGGAAGGAATATATATAGGAGGAGGATGAAGAAGGGGGTGGAAGTGGGGTTTGATAAAGTAACCGCGGTTAAGGGAGGGAGGTAATAAGATGTCCACGTGGCATATTCTGGGAAGGGGATCATGGGGACAATGGACGGTTGGGATGGGGTGTAGAGACAGATATCATTGACCGAATGAAAAAAGTGACCGGGTTCAACTTTTTTTAATTGACGTTAGGACTTACGCGCGCGAGAGAGAGACAGAGAGAGGAACATTTTTTATTCTGGTTTGTACTTTGGGCACTGGGTACTGGGATTGTGCGACTGTGCAATATTTACTTTTGGGAAAGGTTAGGATAACGTTAATGGTACGGTTAATATTTTAAAAATTAAGTTTTAATATTTTTTAATGTGTTATAAGCAACGTTATAATTGTTCACGAATATTTTATGATTAATTATAAATATTTATGATTGATCATCGCCTCCCTTTGAACATTTATAATTTTTCTTTTCTGTAAGGTGTAATTTTTACTAATTAATTTTTCAAACAAAATTTTCTTAAAATACATGACACCAAAAAAATATTAACATGTATATTGTCACATATAAATAATGTTCAAAATAAAAATTCAATTAATTAATTTAATTTATAATAAAAATAAATAATGTGATAGAAATAAACAAAAAATTTATTGAAATAAAATTCAAATNTTCGGTCACGTCCGGTAACGACTTTCTCTTCACACATTGCACATACTCACCCACCACATACACCTTGAAAATCACACCCCCATGGTTCACAAATTCCTGCAAAACAATTGGGGGTTTCAGCTTATTCAACCCATCATTGTTGAAAAGCAACGACATTATGTGCGATGTGGCGCTCCCATCCGCCACCAACGGCTTCGCTATGACCGGAAACCTCAACCCCTCCCTCTCAATCTCCAATTCCGACACCTTTTTCGACTCGTATATCACAATCTGCTTCGGAATCCCAAATGAAGCCGTTTTGTTCTCAATTTCCAACTCCTTCACTACATCAAGCATCGAAATCCGACTACGCAATCTCTCGATTGCCTCGGGATCATCAATAATGAGGACATTGGGGTTTTTCGAAGAGTACTCTTCCAGCTGATTTTTCCAATCCTGACCGTACAATTTGTGGAGAACACAATCAAAAGGTCCTTGATCGATTAATGGCTTGTTGGGGTCGATCCTAATGAGATCGATTCCTTTGTCTTTCGCAAGATTAACAAGGGAATACTGAACGAAACTGGCTTCCTTTTTCGGTGCCAAAGCGTATCCGACTCCGTATCTCTTCCTCACCTCGTCCATTGAAATTCAAACTCTCTAAGAAAATACAACCCACATTGAGAAGTGGAACCCTAACTCCAGCAGAAATGGAAAATTGAAATCTAGGGTTTAGAGAATTTAAAGGCACTTCATGAAAATTGAGATCAAGAGACACAGAAGGGTGGGAGAGAGATATGTGCAGGGGAAGGAATATATATAGGAGGAGGATGAAGAAGGGGGTGGAAGTGGGGTTTGATAAAGTAACCGCGGTTAAGGGAGGGAGGTAATAAGATGTCCACGTGGCATATTCTGGGAAGGGGATCATGGGGACAATGGACGGTTGGGATGGGGTGTAGAGACAGATATCATTGACCGAATGAAAAAAGTGACCGGGTTCAACTTTTTTTAATTGACGTTAGGACTTACGCGCGCGAGAGAGAGACAGAGAGAGGAACATTTTTTATTCTGGTTTGTACTTTGGGCACTGGGTACTGGGATTGTGCGACTGTGCAATATTTACTTTTGGGAAAGGTTAGGATAACGTTAATGGTACGGTTAATATTTTAAAAATTAAGTTTTAATATTTTTTAATGTGTTATAAGCAACGTTATAATTGTTCACGAATATTTTATGATTAATTATAAATATTTATGATTGATCATCGCCTCCCTTTGAACATTTATAATTTTTCTTTTCTGTAAGGTGTAATTTTTACTAATTAATTTTTCAAACAAAATTTTCTTAAAATACATGACACCAAAAAAATATTAACATGTATATTGTCACATATAAATAATGTTCAAAATAAAAATTCAATTAATTAATTTAATTTATAATAAAAATAAATAATGTGATAGAAATAAACAAAAAATTTATTGAAATAAAATTCAAATGTATAATTCTCTTATTATATAAATTTTATATATATATATATTTAAAAAAAAAAAATTTGGGAGGGAGAGAGAGAGGAAAAGGGAGAAGAAAAATATATGATTAAATAAAAGAGTCATTGATATATAAATTATATTGGACTTGATTTTACAAAGTCTATTTGGTGATGGCGACTTGTAAGATTTAGTTGGATTGACTTGTAAATTTTGTGGACCTCCGTCGCCGCAAGATTTATAAATTCTATGTACTCCCTTGGCATTTGATTTTTCACAACTTTATAGTAATTTTTAGAGAGTCGTACACAAGGTTGGTTTTCCAGTTATGCCTATATTGCATTTTATGGAAATTTAGGTCATTACCAAATGGGGAGGTATATAGTTGGTATCAAAGAAAGAATATACTCGACTACACCAAAAAACAGAAGGGCAAATTAAGTTAAACGTTTGGACACAAGTCATTCATTTGAATTGATGTCTCTATCTAAGGTAGTGTTTCTAGCGTGAGGTTTTACTATTAATAGGTATATTTTATTGCGTTACGTGATGGTTTACTCCTTTTTCTGTCAAGCCATGCATGGCATCAAATTTAAGACTATTATGATCCATTCGGAATATATATATACATATATACCGAACTTTTTTCACTTGCATTGATGTGTTAGTATTCTCATATTTCTCTACCTTACCTTATAAGTAGAGATGTGATGGGACATTTCTGGAAGGAAAGAGATCGACGACATGTGTGTTCGATATCATTATATTTTCAATCAGGTATGGCCAAGTGTCCTCAGCGTCGCTCGTCCCCTTCTGTCGAGGCGATAATGCTCTAAGCCGAAGGACCCCCCAAACGGCGTGATTGACACGTATATCCTCGACTCAGTAAAAACCCTCTACCCCGAAGTAGGCAAATATCCCTCGACACCAAGGGGTTCCTTCTAAGTGCTAGATCCCATCTTTCGTCTGTTTCTATAAAAGCTAATGATTGACAGATGATTAGCCTGGGCCAGGCTAGGCTAGCCATCATGAAGATGTTCTGTTCAATGGTGTCAGGAGGCGTAGGAATGCAGAATATACAATCAAGGAGGAGTGGACACGTGGAATATGATATCAAATCAGTAGCAAAAAGACCTGAACACCCCTGCTGACACATGACTAGAGCAAATAAGCATTTAATGAATTCTCGTCCTGATGAGACAGCGATTAAGGCATAGGGGCTGAGAAATGAAGGGCATTAAAGACTCACATGTCTAGCATTTAATACATCCTCGCCGAGTAGAAGGAAATTGAATGCTCGACAGATCGAGGAGAGAGCATTGAATGTTCGGCATTCCGATCAATTAAATCAAAGCACATTCCCCATAAAAAGTGAAGGGCACACTACCCCATCTCTGACAAATACCTACTGGATGGACTGTCAACAATGATGAGCCTTTGAAGGTATAAATAGTCCTCAAAAACGCATTACAAAGATATGCAAGAACTTCTCAAAAGAGTCGTACAGTATTTTCTTCTTCCCCACTCTCACAGCTAATGATTTGATCGTTGAAGAGGATACGACGGAAAACACTTCGGCGCTCTTCTAACTCATTTTTCTGTGTCTCAGGATCCCTCTATAGCCTTCTAGGACCAGTCAGGCGACCCAACAAACAATTCATCACCACTCATTAGGCCCATTTATCTCCCTCAACCTATTTTCAGGTGTTAAAATCGATAGTTGCCCCAACGGGATCGTGTTCATCACAAGAGAAACCTGTTCTCATATATATTGTGCAAAAATCTGCACGCACAAGATGTATCAATATTCTAATCACAATCAATTTTTATATTATGGAATGGACGAGAAAGAATCTAAAACGAGTTAAGAAAGAATTTGCACAAAAAAAAAAAGAGCACTCAAAGAAAAGGATGAGAAACATCTCGCATTTGGTGAAATTTGACCTTAAGAACTCCCATAAAAGCGAGTAAATATTTATTGCAACGGTGACACCCCGTCCCTAATCAGCGATACGTGGTATCAACAAATTAATAATAATACACCACATAAAATAAGTGAACTTCATTATTAGTAGGTGTTAGATAGTCAACATGGTGATAATTGAAAGTTATTAAAAAAATAAGATCTACTACACACATATGATATATTATTATTAATTAGTATACCATGTGTCACTGATAATATAGTACCACCATTGTAATAAATATTTATTTTCCATAATAACATGTTGTCATGGGTGGTAATGGAGCTTGTGGTTCCCCATCGGAGGCTTGAATCCTAAAGTCTAGATGCAGTTTCCTAAAATTGAAGGTGTGAAATTGTCATTTGACACATCCAAGGTCATCATTTTTGTAGTAAGTTTCCATGTGTAACTAAACCAAATGATTGGCCGGGTAATTCAAGATTAACCCAATATTTTATGGGTGTTCCAGTGTTTTTCCTAATATGATGATCTCGTGCTTTTGGATTGTGATTTTTTTTATTACACTTTTGTTTAATTTTATTTAATAATATATTATCCATCGTGCAAGAGTTAAGGGACTATGAGTTCATAATGGGTCTTATGTGTATTAATAGTAAATAATCTATCACTGAATGAAAGTGTAATAAAAATGGTCTAAATCTCGCACTTGCGATCATAGTAGGGATCGGCACTCTTAGATTCATTATTCAGGTAACTAGAATGACTTTGGCAAGGCGAACCGATCAGAAGAATCAGAACAGATTCATTATCCAAAAAGAAAAACTACCAGAAACTATCAAAATTTAATATTTATGGTGATGCCCCTATTATTCTCTGGATAAGTTTTGCTGCTTTTGCACCCTGAGATGTTACATAAAACCAAATTGAATAATTTTATGCTTGATGGGACCATCCAAATTCTAGCTAAAAGTCAAATTCAGCAGTTCTCTTAAGGTAGGGAAACCCTGAGATAGCGGGAAAAAAACAATGGTACCGACATCGTGGGTTATTTCTATGTTCAATAAAATTATAATTTTAAAAAAAAAATTATAATTATTCAAGATAGATCATAATCAATCATAGACACCCATAATCAATCATAAAAAATGTGGTGCAGTATTGATCCCAATATTCCATGATTGATTATGCCTTTTTTTTTGTTCAAAAAAAAAATCATACCCTTTGAAGTTATAACTTACACCTCAAAGAAATTATAATTTAACCTTAAAAAATTATAACTTTCAGTACCGGTACTACCAGCGGTAGAGTAGAAATTCCCCTCAAAATGGGTTGGTGTTCACTTTTGTGACTAAAATTTGATCTCAAAATCCAAGATAGTTCAAATAATAACAGAGACGAATTATATACGCAGATGTCCTGAATTTAAATTTTAATAATTTTTTAGAGTCAAACTATGAGAAAAGTATTTCTCATGAATATCCTAATTCCGACATTGATAACTTGTTTTTGTTCAAATCAAAAAAAAAAATTAATCGAAATACGCATAAATTATCTCGAAAACCCCTAATCATTGAATTTTTTTTTTTTGGCGGGTATCGTAGCACAATAGACTCATCTTTTCTGAGATGCTGACTCCATGGTTGTCCAAGTTGAGTGGGATTGGAGACATTTGGGCCCCAACTTCAAAGGTAAACTTTGTACAGGAGAATTTTATGCACTGTGTGGTGGGGTTGTGTTTCCACAAGCCATTTAAAGAATTTTGGTTGGCTAACATTTGCACGAGGAACATATGCCACTTTGGTACAAAAATACTCTAGGAAAATCAACAGATCACAGCATCTACTTTGAGAGAATCATCAGATGATTTATTCTTTGTTCTTTTGCTTTTTCTTTTTCTTTTTCTTTATTTTTTTAGGTAAAATATATTAGTGGTCTCCGAAATATGTGCATTGTTTATTTTGATCCCTACTTCCAGATTGTCTCATTTTACTCTATAAATAACTGCATTTATTGTTAAATTGTTCGAAAAGGATACGTGACCCCCATCATCTAAAAATACATATTTTTTCATTGTATGTGAATTATTTGGACGATAATAAGGGGGTGAATTATTTAAAAATAAATTGAAAACTTACGGTTCAATTGGAAAAGATTAAAATAACAATGAACACATACTTGATTGTGTCCTTTATCCTTTTTATTTGTGTTTGGTGGGAGGGGGGAGGTTGTTTAACCTTAGAATCTCTGCCTTTTTTCTATATTAAACTTCTATAATTTCTACAAAATTAACAAATGAAAGCATGGATTGAGTTCTAGCAAGTTCCATCTAAGGACTACTTATTTATGTAGCTTATAGATTCCCAC